TAGTACGATTACAACAAGTACTACTATTACTAGTACTACTACTAATAGTAATACTACTACTAGTAATAGTAATGGTAGTATTACTACTACCAGTAATACTAAGACTAGTACTACTACATCTAGTACTACTACTGCCAGTATTGCTACTGGTAATTCTAATACTAATACTACCACTCCATGTACGACATCAACTAGTACTACTACTACCATTAATACTACTACTAGTACTACTAATACTGGTACTACTAATAATTGTTCTACTGCTTTTAGTACTAAAACTACTAGTACTAATACTACTAGTACTACCACTACTTGTACGAAAACTACTAGTAATACTACTACCGGGAATACTACTACTAGTAGTACTACTAAAAGTACGGGTGCTACTAGTACAACTACTACTAGTACTACTACTATTAGTACTATTACTACAAGTACTACTACAACTAATACTACCACTACTGGTAACTTCACTAGTTGTGCGAAAACTACTAGTAATTTTAATACCAGTAATACAAATGCTACTACTACTAATACTAGTACTACTTCTATTGATTCTACTAATACTAATATTATTACTACTAGTACTAATATTATTAGTACTAATGCTACTTGTATTACTACTACTGCTACTACTACTACTACTACTACTATCACTACATTGCGACAAGTACTACTAATACTACTACCAGAAATATGACTGCTAGTACTACTACTACACGTACTACGACTGATAATACTAATAATATTAATATTACTACTACTGGTAATACTACTACTGCTACTACTACTACTACTAGCACTAATACTAATAGTACTACTGCTATTAATAATACCACTTCTTTTTAAGACAAGGACTAGTATTACTACTACTACCAATAATTTTACTACTAGTATTACTACAACTAGTACTACTACTATTAGCACTAGTATTACTAGTAGTATTACTATTATCACTATCACTACTTGCACGACATCCACTAGTATTTTTACTACCAGTAGTATTAGTTCTAGTTATACCGCTACAAGTACTACGACTACTATTAATAATACTACTAGTGCTACTACTACTAATACTACTACTACTAATACTACTACTACTAGTACTACTACTACTAGTACTAATATTACTAGTACCACAACTACTTGTACGACAATTACAAGTACTACTGCTACCAGTAATACTATTACTGCTACTACTATTCTTCTTACTACTCCTAATATTTATATTAATACTAGTACTAATGATATTGGTACTACTACTATTACTATTAATACTAGTTCCACAACTACATGTACGACAACTATTACTACTACTACTACTAGTAATACTACTACCAGTATTAGAACTACATGTTGGACTACTACTCGTACTACTACTTCTAGTAATACTACTACTAGTACTACTGTGGTGTGAGCTACTTATATTCATATAAGTAGTATATAACGTGCGTTAAATAAACGTAAGGACCGGCAGCAGAAGATGGCGAAGATCAAGAACGGAAGAGCATAAGCACAATGGAATTGTAAGAAAACACATGTACAATGGAATGGCAGACAATGGATTAGTGTTTGCAACGGGAACAGTACAGTTTGATATGATGGAATGATATTTTGCAAATTGACGATTGACTTTATGGTATTCACATTTTATTGAGATAGTCTGTAATCTTTGTGCTAAATACAGTCGATTGTCCCCACACGTGTTCTTGTTCACTACACTACTACTACTAGTAATAATACTACCAATATTACCACTCGTTGTACGACAACTACTTGTACTCCTACTACTAGTACTACTACAAATAGTACTAATACTAATAATAATACCACTACTTGTACGAAATCTACTAGTAATAGTATTACCAGTTATACTACTACTAGTACTACTGCCAAAAGTACGACTAAAACTGATACTACAACTAATAGAACTACTACTACTAGTAGTACTACTACTAGTACTACTACTACTAGTATAATCACTACTTGTACGAAAACTATTAGTACTACCACTACCAGTCATACTACAAGTAGTACTAATAATACAAGTACTAAAACTTTTAGTAATAGTACTACAAGTGTTAAGACTACTAGTAATACTACTAATAGTACTACCACTACTAGTATTACTACTATTATTACTATTAATACTAGTTCCACAACTACATGTACGACAACTATTACTACTACTACTACTAGTAATACTACTACCAGTATTAGAACTACATGTTGGACTACTACTCGTACTACTACTTCTAGTAATACTACTACTAGTACTACTGTGGTGTGAGCTACTTATATTCATATAAGTAGTATATAACGTGCGTTAAATAAACGTAAGGACCGGCAGCAGAAGATGGCGAAGATCAAGAACGGAAGAGCAAGAGCACAATGGAATTGTAAGAAAACACATGTACAATGGAATGGCAGACAATGGATTAGTGTTTGCAACGGGAACAGTACAGTTTGATATGATGGAATGATATTTTGCAAATTGACGATTGACTTTATGGTATTCACATTTTATTGAGATAGTCTGTAATCTTTGTGCTAAATACAGTCGATTGTCCCCACCCGTGTTCTTGTTCACTACACTACTACTACTAGTAATAATACTACCAATATTACCACTCGTTGTACGACAACTACTTGTACTCCTACTACTAGTACTACTACAAATAGTACTAATACTAATAATAATACCACTACTTGTACGAAATCTACTAGTAATAGTATTACCAGTTATACTACTACTAGTACTACTGCCAAAAGTACGACTAAAACTGATACTACAACTAATAGAACTACTACTACTAGTAGTACTACTACTAGTACTACTACTACTAGTATAACCACTACTTGTACGAAAACTATTAGTACTACCACTACCAGTCATACTACAAGTAGTACTAATAATACAAGTACTAAAACTTTTAGTAATAGTACTACAAGTGTTAAGACTGCTAGTAATACTACTAATAGTACTACCACTACTAGTATTACTACTATTATTACTATTAATACTAGTTCCACAACTACATGTACGACAACTATTACTACTACTACTACTACTAGTAATACTACTACTGGTACTACTATTACTGGTACCACCAGTACTAGTTCTAGTACTACTAGTACTACTGCTAATAATACTACTGCACTACTAGTACTAATACTACTAGTACTTCTACTAATAAGACTACCACTCCTTGTACGATAACTACTAGTAATAATACTACCATTAATACTAATACTAGTACTACTTCTATAGGTACTACTACTAATAGTTCTAGTAAAATTATTACCACTACTACTAGTACTACTACTATTAGTACTACTATTGTTTGTACTGCTACTGGCAGTAATACTAATAATAGTACTAGTATTATAGGTACTATTAATACTAGTACTACTACTAAGATTATTATTACTTCTATTACTACTACAACTAGTACTACAACTACGAGTATTACTACTAATATTAATACTAATACTAGTAATACTATTACTTGTAATAATACTACTAATACTACCACTCCTTGTACGACTACTACTAGTACTACTAATACCAGTAATACTAATATTAGTACTACTACTACTGGTACTACTAATAATTGTTCAACTTCTACTAGTACTTGTACTACTAACACTAATTCTATTAGTACTAATATTACTAGTAATACTACTACTACTACTACTACATTACTTGTACGACAACTACTAGTATTGCTTATACTAGTAGAACTACTTCTAGTAATACTACTACTAATACTACTACTACTAGTACTAATATTACTATTACCACCACTAATTGTACGACAACTACTAGTTCTACAACCAGTAATAATTATAATAGTACTACTACTGCTAGTACTACTACTTGTAGTACTGCTACTACTAGTAATATTACTAATAGTACTACTACTACTAGTATTAAATTTAATTGTAAGAAAACTATTAGTAATACTACTATCAGTAATACTACTACTAGTATTACAACTACTAGTATTAATACTACTGGTACTGCCACTACTTGTACAACAACTATTATTATTAATATTATCAGTAATACTACTACTAAAACTACTACTAAAATTACTACTACTACTAGTACTACTACGACTGGCAATACTAGTTCTAGTACTGCCACTAATTGTACGTCAACTATTAGTTATATTAATAACAGTAATATTAATAAAAGTACTACGACTGCTAGTAATACTGCAAGTAGTACTACTACTACTCGTAATAATACTACTAGTACTACTACTACTAGTAGTATATTTAATTGTTCGAAATCTATTAGTAATACTAATATCCGTAATACTACTACAAGTATTACAAATACAAGTACGACTACTACTAGTACTACTACTACTAGTAATATTGCTACCAGTACTACTACATCTAGTACAATTACTACGAGTATTACTACTAATACTGGTACTATAACTACTAGTAATAATACTACTAATACTACCACTACTTGTACGACAATTACTGGTACTACTACTAATAGTAATACTACTGCTAGTACTATTACTACTGCTACTACTAAAAATTGTTCTACTACTACTAGTACTACTACTACTATTACTAATACTGCTAGTACAACCACTAATTGTACGACAACTACTAGTACTACTACCAGTTATACTACTACTAGTACTAATACTAATGGTACTACTTCAAATAGTTCTACTACTACAGGTAATGCTACTACCCGTACTACTAATAATAATACTACTAATACTAGTAATACTACTACCAGTAATACTACTACTAGTAGTAGTACTACAAGTATTATTACTACTATTACTACTACAACTAGAAATATTACACCTCGTTCTACTAATACTAGTACCAATACTATTGGTACTATTACCACGAGTACTACTATTTCTAGTACTACCATTACTTGTACGAAAATTACTATTAATAAGACTACCAGTAACACTAGTACTAGTACTACTCATAATAGTAATACTACTAAATTACAGCTATTACTAGTATTACTAATACCAGTACTACTACTAATAGTATTACTACTACTAGTCGTACTACTATTAGTAGTACTACTACCAGTACTACTACTACTACTACTACTAGTACTATTACTACTACTACTAGTACTAATACTACTAGTAACACCACTACTAGTACTATTACTATTACTATTATTACTAGTACTGCTACTGCTAGTAATAATACTAGTAGTACTACTACTAGTTATACTACTACGAGTATCACTACTAATAGTATTAATTATGCTAGTACTATTACTACAAGTAATAATACTACTATTACTGGCACTCCTTGTACGACAATTACTAATATTACTACTACCAGTAATACTACTACTTGTACTATTACTACTGGTACTACTAATAATTGTTCCACTACTACTAGTACTACTACTACTACTGCTACTACTAGAACTACTACTACTAGTGCTAATACTACTAGTAGCACCACTAATTGTACGACAACTACTAGTATTACCACCAGTAATACTACTACTAATAATAATACTAATGCTACTACTTCAAATATTTCTACTACTACTGGTAATACTACTCCTCGTTCTACAACTACTAATACTACTACTATTAGTACTACTACTACTAGTACTACTAATTCTCGTACTAATATTACTTGTACGAAAACTACTATTACTATTAATACTAACACTATTATTACTATTAATACCAATGCTACTACTACTAGTATTACTGCTATTAGTACTACCACTTTTTGTAGGAAAACTTCCAGTAATAATACTACCAGTAATACTACTACTATTACTACTTTTACTAGTACAACTACTACTAATACTGCTACTACAAGTACTAATAGTACTAGCACTGCTACTAAGTGTCCTACCAATATTTTACGACAACTACTAATACTACTACTACTAGTAATATCACAGTTAATACTACTAAAACTAATACTACTACTATTACCAATACTACTAGAAATACTACTGCTATTATTACTATTATTAATAATAATACTACTAGTACTACTACTACTACTAGTAATATCAATACTAGTACTAGCACTCCTTGTACGACTAATACCATTATTACTACTACCATAAATACTACTAATAGTACTACTATTAATGGTATAATTTCTAATATTTCTACTAGTACTAGTAATGCTACTACTAGTACTGATAATAATAGTATTACTACTACTAGTATTACTACTACCAGTAATACTAATAATTGTGCTAGTACTACAAGTATTATTACTACTAGTACTACTAATACTAGTAATAATACTCCTCGCTCTACTACTACTAGTACTATTACTACTGGTAATACTACTACTAGTACTACAACTCCTAGTAATATTAATCCTCGTTCTACTAATACTAGTACTAATACTACTACTACTACTAATACTATTAGTACTACTAAAACAGGTACTACTAATACTAGTACTACTACTACTAGAACTATCAATACTAGTACTACCACTACTTGTACGACAACTACTAGTAATATTACTGCTAGTAATATTATTACTAATACTACTACTACTGGCATTACTACTATTAGTATTACTATTACTAGTACTACTACTACTACTACCACTACTTGGAATACAACTTCTAGTATGATATTACCAGTAGTACTAATTCTAGTAATACTACTACAAGTATTACGAGTACCAGTACTACTACTACTAATACTACAACTATTAGTACTACTACTAGTAGTACTACCAATACTAGTACGGCAACAACTGGTACTAATACAACCAGTAATACTACTACTGGTACCACTACAACTAATTCTACTACTACTGGTACTACTAATACAAATACTAATAATATTAGTACTAATACTACTAGTACTACTAATAATATTAATAATATTAATAATAATACAACTAGTATTACTACTAATAGTAATAATACTATTAGTAATACTACTACTAATACTATCGCTACTAGTACTACTACTACTACAAGTAATACTACTACTAGTACTACTACTACTATTAATCTTACCACTAGTATTGCTACTGCTTGTACGACAACTACTAGTAGTATTATAACTAGTACTAATACTACTAGTACTACTACCACTAATACTCCTTCTATTAGTACTATTACCACTACTAATACTACTGTTATTACTACCACTACTTGTACGAAAACTACTAGTAGTACTACTTCCAATAATACCACTACTTTACGACAACTGCTAGTATTATTACTACTAGAAATATTACTACTAGTACTACTACTAACAGTACTAATACTATTAGTACTAATACTAATAGTACGACTAATACTAGTACTATTACTACAAGTATTAATATTACTAGTAATCCTATTTCTAGTAATACCACTATTAGTACTACTACTACTTGTAACTCTACGAGTAATACTACTGTTAGTACTACTATTACTAGCAATACTGCTACTTGTAATACTATTATTAGTGCTACTACTATTAGTACTACTACAACTAGTACTACTACTACTAGTACTACTTCTACTTTTACTACCACTAATTGTACGACAAATACTAGTAATTCTACTACCATTAAAACTACTAATAGTAATACTATTACTAGAACTACTACTAATAGTACTTCTACTACAAGTATTAATACTAGTACTACTACTACTAGTAATATTACTACTAGTACTATTACTACTGGTACTACTAATAATTGTTCCACTACTACTAGTACTACTACTACTAGTGCTAATATATTTAGTACTACTATTACTAGTACTACTACTACTACTGCTACTACTAGAACTACTAGTACTTGTACTAATACTACTAGTACCACCACTAATTGTACGAGAGCTACTAGTAGTACTACCAGTAATACTACTACTAATACTAATACTAATGGTACTACTTAAAATATTTCTACTACTACTCGTAATGCTAATACTCGTACTACTACTATTAGTATTACTACTACTAGTAATACCACTACCAGTAATACTACCACTAGTAATAGTACTACAAGTATTATTACTACTATTACTAGTACTACTAGTAATACTACTCCTCGTTCTACTATTACTAGTACTACTATTTTTAGTTTTACTACTACCAGTACTGCTATTTCTAGCATTAACATTACTTGTACGAAAACTACTCGTAATACTTTTACCACTATTACTACTACTAGTGCTACTACTACAGGTACGAATACTGCCAGTACTACTACTACTAGTACTACAACTACTACTTATAATAATCCTCGTTCTACTACTACTAGTACCACTACTACTACTACTAATATTAGTTCTAATACTACTAGTACTACTACTACTAGCATTAGTACTACTAGAACTACGACAACTTGTACGAAATCTTCTATTATTAAGACTACCAGTAATACTACTACTAGTACTACTAATAATAGTACTACTACTACAATTACAAATATTACTAGTATTACTACTACTGGTACAACCACTAATTGTACGACAACTACTAGCATTACTACTATCAGTAATACTATTACTATAACTACTACTAAAAGTACTACTATTGCTAGAATAACTACTACTAGCACTACTACTACTAGTATTACTACTATTAGTACTACCACTATTTGTACGAAAACTACTAGTAATATTACTACCAGTAATCCTACTAATAGTACTAGTAATACTAGAACAACTGGTACTAGTATTACTAACACTAGTAATAATACTGCTAGTATTACTATTACTAGTACTACTACTAAATCTACTATTAATACTAACAATATCAGTACTATTATACTAGTATTAATACAACAAATATTACCGCTATTAGTACTACCACGATTTGTAGGACAACTACTAGTAATACTACTACCAGTAACAATACTACTAGTATTACTACTACTAGTAGTACCGCTATTATACGACAACTAGTATCAGTAAAACTACTAGTAATATTACAATTAATAATACGACTACTAGTACTATTACTGCTATTAAAATACTAATAGTAATACTACTGCTAGTCCTATTACTATTAGTACTATTACTACCATTACTACTACTAGTACTACTACTACTAGTACAACTAATACTAGTACTAATAATACTAGTATTACCACTCCTTTTACTTCAAATACTATTACTATTACTACCATTAATACTACTACTAATATTACTACTAATGGTAATATTTCTAATAGTTCTATTAGTACTAGAAATGCTACTACAAGTACTACTACTATTAGTATTACTACTACCAGTACTACTACTACCAGTAATACTACTACTAGAAATGGTTCTACAAGAATTATTACTACTAGTTCTACTACTACTTATAATACTACTCCTCGTTCTACTACTACTAGTACTAGTATTACTAGTACTAATACTTTTAGTACTACTACTACTTGTACTACTACTACCAATAATAATACTACTAGTAATATTTCTACAAGTATTATTACTAATAGTACAACTATTATTACTAATATTACTAGTACTACTACTAATAGTACTACTACTACTAATACTACCACTATATGTACGAGAACTAATAATACTACTAATAAAATTACTGCTACTACTAGTAATACTAATATTAGTACTACTATTTCTAGTATTACTTCTACTAGTACTACTACTACTAGTAATATTATCACTAGTATTATTATTACACCAGTAATACTTCTCCTATTTCTACTACTACTAATACTGCCACTACGAGAACCAATACTATTTGTACTATTACCATTAGTACTAATACTACTAGTAGTACTACTAATACTACCACTACTTGTACGACAACTACTAGTATTACTACTACCAGTAATACTACTTCTAGTAATACTACTACTAGTACGACTACTCCTAGTATTACTACTACTAGTACTAATACTACTAGTACCACCTATAATTGCACGATAAATACTGGTTCTCATAGGAGTAATACTACTACTGGTACTGATATTACTGTTACTACTACTATTATTTCTACTAATACTAGTACTACTACTACTAGTACTACTAAAATTAGTATTACTACTACTAGTACTACTACTACTACTACTACTACTACTACTACTACTAGTACTACAACTCCTTGTACGAATCTACTAGTACTAATACAGCCAATAATTATACTATTAGTACTACAAATAATGGTACTACTTCAACTAGTTCTACTACTGATAATAATGCTACTGCTAGTACTAATACTATTAGTACAACTACTACTAGTACTACTACTACTAGTACTAATATTACTAGTACCACAACTACTTGTACGACAATTACAAGTACTACTGCTACCAGTAATACTATTACTGCTACTACTATTCTTCTTACTACTCCTAATATTTATATTAATACTAGTACTAATGATATTAGTACTACTACTATTAGTACTACTACTGCTAGTACCATTATTACTAAGACTACTACTACTAGTACTACCGCTACTAGAACTACTACTACTAGTACTACCATTACTTGTACGAAAACTACTAATAGTAATACTACCAGTAATACTACTACCAGTATTAGAACTACATGTAGGACTACTACTCGTACTACTACTTCTAGTAATACTACTACTAGTACTACTGTGGTGTGAGCTTCTTATATTCATATAAGTAGTATATAACGTGCGTTAAATAAACGTAAGGTCCGGCAGCAGAAGATGGCGAAGATCAAGAACGGAAGAGCAAGAACACAATGGAATTGTAAGAAAACGCATGTACAATGGAATGGGCGACAATGGATTAGTGTTTGCAACGGGAACAGTACAGTTTGATATGATCGAATAATATTTCGCAAATCGAAAAAAGACATTATGGTATTCACATTTTATTGAGATAGTCTGTAATTTTTCTGCTGAATACAATCGATTGTCCCCACACGTGTTCTTGTTCACTACACTGCTACTATTAGTAATAATACTACCAATATTACCACTCGTTGTACGACAACTACTTGTACTCCTACTACTAGTACTACTACAAATAGTACTAATACTAATAATAATACCACTACTTGTACGAAATCTACTAGTAATAGTATTACCAGTTATACTACTACTAGTACTACTGCCAAAAGTACGACTAAAACTGATACTACAACTAATAGAACTACTACTACTAGTAGTACTACTACTAGTACTACTACTACTAGTATAACCACTACTTGTACGAAAACTATTAGTACTACCACTACCAGTCATACTACAAGTAGTACTAATAATACAAGTACTAAAACTTTTAGTAATAGTACTACAAGTTTTAAGACTGCTAGTAATACTACTAATAGTACTACCACTACTAGTATTACTACTATTATTACTATTAATACTAGTTCCACAACTACATGTACGACAACTATTACTACTACTACTACTAGTTATACTACTACTGGTACTACTATTACTGGTACCACCAGTACTAGTTCTACTACTACTAGTACTACTTCTACTAGTTCTAATACTATTAGTACTACTACTACTAGTACTACTGCTAATAATACTACTGCACTACTAGTACTAATACTACTAGTACTTCTACTAATAAGACTACCACTCCTTGTACGATAACTACTAGTAATAATACTACCATTAATACTAATACTAGTACTACTTCTATAGGTACTACTACTAATAGTTCTAGTAAAACTATTACCACTACTACTAGTACTACTACTATTAGTACTACTATTGTTTGTACTGCTACTGCCAGTAATACTAATACTAGTACTAGTATTATAAGTACTATTAATACTAGTACTACTACTAAGATTAATATTACTTCTATTACTACTACAACTAGTACTACAACTACGAGTATTACTACTAACATTAATACTAATACTAGTACTACTATTACTTGTAATAATACTACTAATACTACCACTCCTTGTACGACTACTACTAGTACTACTAATACCAGTAATACTAATAGTAGTACTACTAATTCTAGTACTACTAATACTAGTACTACTATAACTAGTACTACTACTACTAGATCTACTACTACTTCTGCTACCCCTACTTGTACGACAACTACTAGTATTAGTACTACTAGTAATACTACTACTAGTAAAATTACTAAAGGTACTACGACTACTAGTACTACTACAAATAGTACTATAACTATTAGTAGTACTACTACTTTTATTAATACTACGAGTACTATTACTACTAGTACTACAGCTACTATTTCTACCACTCCTTGTACGACAACTACTATTAATAATAATACCAGTAATAAAACTACTAGTATTAATACGACCAATAATAATGCTACTAGTACTACTACTACTAGTACTACCACCACTTATATGAAAACTACTGGTAATACTACTTCTACATGTACTACGACTACTAGTAATAATATTAATAGAGCTACTGCTACTATTAATAATACTCCTCGTTCTACAACTATTTGTACTAATACTACTGGTGCTACTAGTATCAGTACTTCTACGACTAGTAGTATTTCTTCTAATATTACTACTAACAGTAATAATACTCCTCGTTCTACTACTACTAATATTATTACTACTAGTACTACCACTACTAGTACTACCACCATTTGTACGAAAACTGCTAGCAATACTACTACCAGTAATACTAATACAACTACTACTACTAGAAGTAGGACTACTACTAGTACTATTACTAATAGTACTACTAATACTGGTACTATTACTACTACTACTACCACTACTTGTACGACAACTTGTAGTATTAATTCCACCAGTAATACTACTACTAGTAATACTACTACAAGTACTACGACTACTAGTACTAATACTAATGGTGCTACTCCTAATATTAATAATACTCCTCGTTCTAATACTACTTGTACTACTACTCTTAGTACTATTACTATTAGTATTGGTATTACTACTACTACTACTACTACTAGTACTACTACTACCAGCAACAATACTCCTCGTTCTACTACTACTAATACTACTACTACTAGTACTAGTGCTGCTAGTACTACCACCAATTATACGAAAACTAATGGTAATACTAATACCACTTATACTACTACTAGTACTACTATTTCAAGTACGACACCTACTAGTAATACTAGTAATAGAACTACTACTACTGGTACTACTACTACTATTACTACTACCACTACTTTTAAGACAACTGCTATTATTACTATTACCAGTAATACTACTACTAGTAATACTACTACAAGCACTACGACTACTAGTACTACTACTGATAATACTGTACTAATAATATTACTACTACTAGTACTACTACTACTAGTATAGCACTACTTCTAGGACAACTACTAGTATTACTACTACAAGTGATAATATTCCTCGTTCTACTAACACTTGTACTACTACTACTAGTACTAATACCATTAGCACTATTTCTACTTGTACTACTGCTACTAGTACATGCAACACTTTTAAGAAAACTACTAGTAATACTACTACCAGTAATACTACTACTAGTACAACTACTAAAAGCAAAACTACTACTAGTACTACTGCTATTAATACTACTGCTACTGGTACTTCTACTACTAGTTCTACTATTACTAGTACTATAACTAGTAGTTCTACTAATATTGGTACTACTATTACTAGAACTACTATTCCTACTACTACTATTAGTAATATTACTACTAGTATTACTGCTATTATTACTACCATTCCTTGTACGACAACTACTAGCACTACTAATACCAATAAAATTACTACTAGAACTAGTACTACTGGTACTACTAATATTGGTTCAACGAAAGCTATTATACTACTACTAGTACTACTACTAATACTACTACTACTACTACTAATACTGCCAGTAATACTACTAATAATATTAATACTACTACTACCAGTACTACTACTACAGGTACTACTACTAATAGTTCTACCTAAACTAGTACTAATACTACTAAAACTACTGATATTAGTACTACTACTACTGGTAATACTACTACTGGTAATACTAGTCCTCGTTCCACTACTATTACAATCACTACGACAATAGTACATATACTATCAGTGTTTCTACTCCAAAGACTAAAAATACTAGTACTAATATTATTTGTACGAAAACTAGTAGTAATCCTACTACCAGTAATAATACTACTAGTAATACAACTACAAGAACGACTACTGTTAGTACTACTAGTACTAGTAATACAGCTACAATTAGTACTACTCCTCGTTCTACTACTACAATACTACTAATACAACAACTACTACAACTAGTACTACTACTAATAGTAATAATATCAATACTACTATTACTACCACTAATTGTACGAAAACTACTAGTAATACTACTAGCAGTAATACTACTACTAGTACTGCTACTAATATTACTACTACTACTTGTATTACCACTACTAGTACTACCAATACTACTAATATTATTACCACCAGTAATATAACTAAGAGCGATACTACGACAATTATTATAACTACTTGTAATACTACTATTAGTACTACTAATAATAGTAGGACTACTATTAGTACTAGTACTACTAGTACTACTACTAATACTACTACTGTTACTGCCACTAATTCAAGGACAACTACTGGTACTAATAGTAATACTAATTCTAGTACTACTATAAATAGTAGGACTACTAATAGTACTACTACTATTATTATTACAACTAATAATAATACTACTGCTAGTACTACACTTACTAGTACTACTACTGCTAGTACTACTACTATTATTACTAATACTCCTAGTACTATTAATACCAGTACTACTACTACTAGTATTACTACTACGAGTAATACCACTACATGTAAGACAATTACTAGTAATACTACTACCAGTAATAATACTAATAAGACTACTGCTACAAGTAATGCTACTACTAGTAACACTACTACTAGTACAACTTCTACTAGTACTACTTCTACTAGTACTACTATTATTATTACTACTACTAATAATAATACTACTAATAGCACTAGTATTACAAGTACTACTAATAATACTAAAAATGGTAGTAATACTACTACTAGTAATACTAAGAATGGTACTACTATAACTAGTACTACTACAAACAGTACTTCTACTATTAATACTACTAATAATAATACCAATCCATGTACTACAACTACTAGTACTACTACTGCCAGTAGTATTACTTCTAGTACTACTACTACTGTTACTAATAATATTAGTACCACAAATGCTGGTACTACTAATACTACTAATACTACCACTAGTTCTACGACAAAATCTAGTGCTAATACAACCAGTAATACTACTAATATTACTACTACTACAAATACTAGTACTACTAGTACTACTACTAATAGTACTACTACTACTAGTACTACTACTATTAGTTCGAATATTAATGCTTCTACCACTACTTGTACGACAAACACTGGTATTACTACTACCAGTAATACTACTACCAATACTACTACTACCAGTAATATCACTAATAGTACTTATACTACTAGTACTATTAATATTGTAATATTAATTATAGTACTACTACTACTAGTACAACCACTAATTTCACCACATCTACTAGTATTACTACTATATATATTAATACTGCTGGTCATAGTAATACTAGTAATGCTACTCCTAGTACTACTACTTCTATTACTACTACTACTAGTAATTATACTACTAGTACTACCACTACTTTTACGACTTCTAGTATTATTACTACTAGTAATATTAATTCTTATACTAGTACTACTAGTAATATTTTTATTATTATTTCTACTAATACTACTACTGCTACAAGTACTACTACTACTACTACTGGTACTGCGACTACTGGTACTACTAATAATAGTACTACAACTACTAGTAATAATACTATTACTACTACTACTACTACTAATATTACTAATACTACTGGTAATACTACTACTAGTAATAACACTAATTGTACGACAACTACTAATACTAATTCTATCATTATTAACAATCCTGGTTCTACTACTACTAGTAATAATACTAATAGTAATACTACTATTAGAACTACTACTATTAGTTCTAACAATACGTGTACTACCACCACTTGTATGAATAATACCAGTAATACGACAACCAGTAATACTAATACTAGTAGTACTACTACAAGTACGACTACTAGTAGTATTAGAACTATTAGTACTACTACTATTGGCACTACTACTGCTAGTACTACTACTTCTAGTACTACTACTACTAGTACTACTACTACTAGTACTACTACTGGTAGTAATAATACTACTAGTACTACTCCTACCAGTACTACCACAACTTGTACGATAAATACTAGTAATACTACAACCAGTAATACTACTACTAGTACTACTAATACACGTACGACTACTACTAGTATTACTACTTAAAATACCACTACTACTGGTAGTACTACTAATAAAACTTCTACTACTGGTACTACTGTAACTAGTATTAATACTACTACCAGTATTACGACCAGTAATACTACTGCTATTAATACTCGTTCTAGTTCTATTAATACTAATAATACTATTACTACTTTTAATAGTACTACTATTACTACTACTACTACTACTATTACCACTCCTTGTACGACAACTACTAGTAGTACTATGAGCAGTAATATTACTACTAGTACTAATAATATTGTTATTACTAATTATAGTTCTACTAATACTATTAATACTACTATTAGTACTACCTCTACTAGTACTACTACTACTACTACCACCACTCCTTGTAAGACAACTATTAGTACAACTAACAAAAGTAATAATAATACTGGTACTAATACGAAAAGTAATACTACTACTAATACTACTACTACTACTACAACTTCTGAAGCCACAACCACTAATTGTACAAAAACTACTAGTATTGAAACTACCAGTAATAATACTACTAGTAATACTGCTACAAGTATTACGACTACTAGTATTACTACTCTTAGTACTACTAATACTAGTAGAAATATTGCTAGTATTATTAATACTAGTACTAATACTACTAGTACTACTACCACTAGTTTTACGACAACTACTAGTATTAATACTACCAGAAATAATACTCCTAGTAATACTAATACAAGTACTACGACTACTAGTGCTAATACTAATAATGCTGCTACTACTAATAATAATACACCTCGATCTACTAATATCTGTACTACAATTACTAGTACTAATATTATTAGTACTACTACTACTAGTAATACTACTACCGGTAATAATACTCCCTGTTCTATTACTACTAATAAAAATACCGCTAGTATTACTACTACTAGTAATTGTAGTACTATTATTAGTAGTACCAGTAGTCGCAGTACTAGTAGTAGTAGTAGTAGTTGTAGCAGTAGTAGTATTAGTGGTAGTAATAATAATAGTATTACTGGTAGTAGTAGTATTAGTATTAATATTACTAGTAGTAATAGTACTAGAAGTTGTCGTAAAATTAGTGGTAATACTAGTAGTACTAATACTACTAGTACTAATACTACTGGTAGTACTACTACTAGTAATAACACTAATTGTACGACAAATACTAATACTACTACTATCATTATTAATACTTTCGTTCTACTACTACTAGTACTTATACTACTAGTAATAATACCATTAGGACTACTATTATTAGTTCTAATACTACGAGTACTACCACCACTTGTACGAATAGTACTAGTAATAATACAACCAGTATTACTAAAAATAGTACTACTAATACAAGTACGACTACTACTAGTATTATTACTACTAGTACTACTACTTCTAGTACTACTACTACTAGTACTACTACTAATAGAAGTACTACTGGTAGTACTAAAACTACTAGTACTACTACTACCAGTAATACCACAACTTGTACGACAAATACTAGTACTACTACTTCTTGTACTACTATTACTAGTACTACTACTGGTAGTATTACTACTTCTAATAATACTACTACTAGTACTACTATAACTAGTAATAATACTACTAACAGGATTACGACCAGTAATACTGCTGCTATTACTACTCGTACTAGTACTATTAATACTAATACTACTAGTACTACTACCAATAGTACTACTATTACTACTAATACTAATATTACCACTCCTTGTACGACAACTACCAGTAGTACTATTACCAGTATTAATACTACTAGTACTACAAATACTGTTATTACTACTTATAGTTCTACTAATAATATTACTACTACTATTAGTACTACCACTACTAGTACTACTACTACTACTACCACCACTCCTTGTACGAGAACTACTAGTACTACTAACAAAGTATTAATAGTAATAGTACTAATACGACAAGTAATACTACAAGTAATACTACTACTACTACTTCTAAAGCTACTACCACTAATTGTAGGACAACTACTAGTATTAATACTACCAGAAATAATACTCCTAGCAATACTAATACAAGTACTACGACTACTAGTGCTAATACTAATAATGCTGCTAATACTAATAATAATACACCTCGATCTACTAATACCTGTACTACAACTACTAGTTATACTATTATTAGTACTACTAATACTAGTACTACTACTACTAGTAATACTACTACCGGTAATAATACTCCTCGTTCTACTACTGCTAATAATAATAATGCCAGTATGACTACTACCAAAACCACCCTAACTTGTACGAAAACTAATAGTATTACTACTAACAGTAATACATCTACTAGTACTACTACTACAAGTACGACTACTACTATTACTACTACTAATAGTACTACTACTACTGGTACTACTACTACTACTACTACTTGTACGACAACTACTAATATTACCACTAAAAGAAATACTACTACAAGTACTACGACTACCAGTTATGCTATTAATAATACTGCTACTACTAGTAGTACTACTACTAGTACTACTACTACTACTAGTACTACTACTACTAGTACTACTATTATTAGTACTATTACTACTAGTACTACTAGTATTAGTACTACCATTACTAGTACTACTACTACTACTTCTACTATTAGTACTATTATTATTAGCACTAATACTACTAGTACTACCACTCCTTGTAAGACAACTAATAATACTAATACTATCAGTAATAATACTACTAGCACTACCACTACTGGTACTACTTCTAATAGTTCTACTACTACTATTACTACTACTACTAGTACTACTAGTGGTAGTAACGACTAGTAATACTACTACCAGTATTACTACTTGTACTAATTGTACGACGTGCAGTAGTAATAATACTACCAGTAATACTATTATTAGTACTAAAACAACGAGTACGACTACTACTAGTACTAATAGTACTAGTACTTCTACTACTAGAACGACTACTTTTAGTACTAGTATTTTTAGTACTTCTACTACTAATACTACTACTATTTATATTTCCACTACTTGTCCTACAAATACTGGTACTTATACTACCAGTAAAACTACTGCTATTAATACTACTACTAGTGCTACAACTATTTGTACGAGAAAAACTAGTAGTACTACTACCAGTAATAATAATATTACTACCACTACAACTAGTACTACTACTACTAATATTACTATAACAAGTAATACTACTGCTAGTACTACTATAAATAGTACGACTACTACCATTAATACTACTACTAGTATTACTACTACTAGTAATACTACAGCTAGTACTACTATTACTAGTACTAAAACTGCTAGTACTACAACTATTATTACGAATACTACTAGTACTACTAATACTAGTACTACTACTACAAGTATTTTTACTACTAGTAGTATCACTATTTGCAAGACAACAAGTACTAATACTACTGCCATTAATACTACGACTAGTTCTACTGCTAATAATACTATTTTTAGTAGTATTACTAATACTAGTATTACTACAACCTGTAATAATACTGCCAGTACTAGTATTACTAGTACTACTACTGCTAGTACTACTACTACTAGTATTAATACTACTAGTATTACTATTCCTAGAACTAACAATACTTGTACGATAACCACTAGTAATAATACTACAAGTATTAATACTACTACTACTACTAGTAGTACTAGTACTACTAGTATCACTACTACTAGTAATACTACTGCTAGTACTACTATTTCTAGTACTACTACAACTAGAACTACTACTATTAATATTAATATTACTAGTACAACCACTACTGGTAGGTCAACTATTAGTATTATTACTACCGGTTATACTACTATTCGTACTACTTCTATAAGTACTAGTAATACTAGTGCTAATAGTATTGGTACTGCTACTACTAATACTATTTCTACTGGTACTACTACTACTAGTATTACCACTATTTGTACGACAACTACTAGTAATAATACTACCAGTTATACAAATACTACTACTAGTACTACTGGTACTACTACTACTAGTATTTCCACTACTACTAATACTAATGGTAGTGCTAATATTACAAGTACTACCACTTTTAGAACTACTAATATTAATCCTATGATTACTAGTGCTACTAATACTAGTAGTACCACCACTTGTACGACAAATAATAGCATTAATACTACTAGTAATATTACTAATAGTACCAATAATACTACTACTATTACTACTAGTACTACTACTAATAATACTAATAATGCTAGAATTATTACTACTGGTATTACTACTACTAATATTACCACTAATTGTACGACAAATATTAGTGCTGCTTCTACCAGTATTACTACTATTAGTACGATTACAACAAGTACTACTATTACTAGTACTACTACTAATAGTAATACTACTACTAGTAATAGTAATGGTAGTATTACTACTACCAGTAATACTAAGACTAGTACTACTACATCTAGTACTACTACTGCCAGTATTGCTACTGGTAATTCTAATACTAATACTACCACTCCATGTACGACATCAACTAGTACTACTACTACCATTAATACTACTACTAGTACTACTAATACTGGTACTACTAATAATTGTTCTACTGCTTTTAGTACTAAAACTACTAGTACTAATACTACTAGTACTACCACTACTTGTACGAAAACTACTAGTAATACTACTACCGGGAATACTACTACTAGTAGTACTACTAAAAGTACGGGTGCTACTAGTACAACTACTACTAGTACTACTACTATTAGTACTATTACTACAAGTACTACTACAACTAATACTACCACTACTGGTAACTTCACTAGTTGTGCGAAAACTACTAGTAATTTTAATACCAGTAATACAAATGCTACTACTACTAATACTAGTACTACTTCTATTGATTCTACTAATACTAATACTACTACTACTAGTACTAATATTATTAGTACTAATGCTACTTGTATTACTACTACTGCTACTACTACTACTACTACTATCACTACATTGCGACAAGTACTACTAATACTACTACCAGAAATATGACTGCTAGTACTACTACTACACGTACTACGACTGATAATACTAATAATATTAATATTACTACTACTAGTACTACTACTACTGCTACTACTACTACTACTAGCACTAATACTAATAGTACTACTGCTATTAATAATACCACTTCTTTTTAAGACAAGGACTAGTACTACTAATACTACCAATAATTTTACTACTAGTATTACTACAACTAGTACTACTACTATTAGCACTAGTATTACTAGTAGTATTACTATTATCACTACCACTACTTGCACGACATCCACTAGTATTTTTACTACCAGTAGTATTAGTTCTAGTTATACCGCTACAAGTACTACGACTACTATTAATAATACTACTAGTGCTACTACTACTAATACTACTACTACTAATACTACTACTACTAGTACTACTACTACTAGTACTGATATTACTAGTACCACAACTACTTGTACGACAATTACAAGTACTACTGCTACCAGTAATACTGTTACTGCTACCACTATTCTTGTTACTTCTCCTAATATTTATATTAATACTAGTACTAATGATATTAGTACTACTACTATAAGTACTACTACTGCTAGTACCATTATTACTAAGACTACTACTACTAGTACTACCGCTACTAGAACTACTACTACTAGTACTACCATTACTTGTACGAAAACTACTAATAGTAATACTACCAGTAATACTACTACCAGTATTAGAACTACATGTAGGACTACTACTCGTACTACTACTACTAGTAATATTGCTACCAGTAATACTATTACTGCTACTACTATTCTTGTTACTACTCCTAATATTTATATTAATACTAGTACTAATGATATTAGTACTACTACTATAAGTACTACTACTGCTAGTACCATTATTACTAAGACTACTACTACTAGTACTACCGCTACTAGAACTACTACTACTAGTACTACCATTACTTGTACGAAAACTACTAATAGTAATACTACCAGTAATACTACTACCAGTATTAGAACTACATGTAGGACTACTACTCGTACTACTACTTCTAGTAATACTACTACTAGTACTTCTGTCGTGTGAGCTACTTATATTCATATAAGTAGTATATAACGTGCGTTAAAAGAACGTAATGTCCGGCAGCAGAAGATGGCGAAGATCAAGAAAGGAAGAGCGAAAGCACAATGGAATTGTAAGAAAACGCATGTACAATGGAATGGGAGACAATGGATTAGTGTTTGCAACGGGAACAGTACAGTTTGATATGATGGAATAATATTTTGCAAATTGACGATTGACTTTATGGTATTTACATTTTATTGAGGCAGTCTGTAATCTTCGTACTCAATACCATCGATTGTCTCCACACGTGTTCTTGTTCACTACACTTACTACTACTAGTAATAATACTACCAATATTACCACTCGTTGTACGACAACTACTTGTACTCCTACTACTAGTACTACTACAAATAGTACTAATACTAATAATAATACCACTACTTGTACGAAATCTACTAGTAATAGTATTACCAGTTATACTACTACTAGTACTACTGCCAAAAGTACGACTAAAACTGATACTACAACTAATAGAACTACTACTACTAGTACTACTACTACTAGTACTACTACTACTAGTATAACCACTACTTGTACGAAAACTATTAGTACTACCACTACCAGTCATACTACAAGTAGTACTAATAATACAAGTACTAAAACTTTTAGTAATAGTACTACAAGTGTTAAGACTGCTAGTAATACTACTAATAGTACTACCACTACTAGTATTACTACTATTATTACTATTAATACTAGTTCCACAACTACATGTACGACAACTATTACTACTACTACTACTAGTAATACTACTACCAGTATTAGAACTACATGTTGGACTACTACTCGTACTACTACTTCTAGTAATACTACTACTAGTACTTCTGTCGTGTGAGCTACTTATATTCATATAAGTAGTATATAACGTGCGTTAAAAGAACGTAATGTCCGGCAGCAGAAGATGGCGAAGATCAAGAAAGGAAGAGCGAAAGCACAATGGAATTGTAAGAAAACGCATGTACAATGGAATGGGAGACAATGGATTAGTGTTTGCAACGGGAACAGTACAGTTTGATATGATGGAATAATATTTTGCAAATTGACGATTGACTTTATGGTATTCACATTTTATTGAGACAGTCTGTAATCTTTGTGCTAAATACAATCGATTGTCTCCACCCGTGTTCTTGTTCACTACATTTGGTGTCGCTGCCAACCGGGAGAGGAGGAGTGTGCTGTTCTGCGGACGCCGTTGCGGGCCTGGAGTTGAGGTGCCAGTTGGGGCAGTCTGGTGCGGAGAGGTGGCGTCTGGTGAAGTGTCCTGGCGGGGCTGCGTTGGCTATAGCGGTTGCTGTCGACGGACTGGAGCGTCGGGACGCGCGGCTGCTGGGCGGACATCGGATGTAGATGGCTCAGCAGGCCGGTGGAGTGCGGATGTCAAGCGTCCCAGGTGCCGGGTGGATGTTGGTTGCTGTTACCCCGGCAGGTCGACAGAGCTGTGGAAGTCAGCGCGCCGCAGACTCGACATCTTGACGGAGAGCGTGCCACAGACTGCAGAGACGGAGAATGTTGCACGGCTTGCATGAACCACCACAAGAACGACTGCTTTAAGGGGGTGGACGTGTGTGGTGTGAGCTACTTATATTCATATAAGTAGTATATAACGTGCGTTAAAAGAACGTAATGTCCGGCAGCAGAAGATGGCGAAGATCAAGAAAGGAAGAGCAAGAGCACAATGCAATTGTAAGAAAACGCATGTACAATGGAATGGGAGACAATGGATTAGTGTTTGCAACGGGAACAGTACAGTTTGATATGATGGAATGATATTTTGCAAATTGACGATTGACTTTATGGTATTCACATTTTATTGAGATAGTCTGTAATCTTTGTACTCAATACCATCGATTGTCTCCACACGTGTTCTTGTTCACTACACTTACTACTACTAGTAATAATACTACCAATATTACCACTCGTTGTACGACAACTACTTGTACTCCTACTACTAGTACTACTACAAATAGTACTAATACTAATAATAATACCACTACTTGTACGAAATCTACTAGTAATAGTATTACCAGTTATACTACTACTAGTACTACTGCCAAAAGTACGACTAAAACTGATACTACAACTAATAGAACTACTACTACTAGTAGTACTACTACTAGTACTACTACTACTAGTATAACCACTACTTGTACGAAAACTATTAGTACTACCACTACCAGTCATACTACAAGTAGTACTAATAATACAAGTACTAAAACTTTTAGTAATAGTACTACAAGTGTTAAGACTGCTAGTAATACTACTAATAGTACTACCACTACTAGTATTACTACTATTATTACTATTAATACTAGTTCCACAACTACATGTACGACAACTATTACTACTACTACTACTAGTAATACTACAACTGGTACTACTATTACTGGTACCACCAGTACTAGTTCTACTACTACTAGTACTACTGCTAATAATACTACTGCACTACTAGTACTAATACTACTAGTACTACTACTAATAAGACTACCACTCCTTGTACGATAACTACTAGTAATAATACTACCATTAATACTAATACTAGTACTACTACTATAGGTACTACTACTAATAGTTCTAGTAAAACTATTACCACTACTACTAGTACTACTACTATTAGTACTACTATTGTTTGTACTGCTACTGCCAGTAATACTAATACTAGTACTAGTATTATAAGTACTATTAATACTAGTACTACTACTAAGATTAATATTACTTCTATTACTACTACAACTAGTACTACAACTACGAGTATTACTACTAATATTAATACTAATACTAGTACTACTATTACTTGTAATAATACTACTAATACTACCACTCCTTGTACGACTACTACTAGTACTACTAATACCAGTAATACTAATATTAGTACTACTACTACTGGTACTACTAATAATTGTTCAACTTCTACTAGTACTTGTACTACTAACACTAATTCTATTAGTACTAATATTACTAGTAATACTACTACTACTACTACCATTACTTGTACGACAACTACTAGTATTGCTTATACTAGTAGAACTACTTCTAGTAATACTACTACTAGTACTACTACTACTAGTACTAATATTACTATTACCACCACTAATTGTACGACAACTACTAGTTCTACAACCAGTAATAATAATAATAGTACTACTACTGCTAGTACTACTACTTGTAGTACTACTACTACTAGTAATATTACTAATAGTACTACTACTACTAGTATTAAATTTAATTGTAAGAAAACTATTAGTAATACTACTATCAGTAATACTACTACTAGTATTACAACTACTAGTATTAATACTACTGGTACTGCCACTACTTGTACAACAACTATTATTATTAATATTATCAGTAATACTACTACTAAAACTACTACTAAAATTACTACTACTACTAGTACTACTACGACTGGCAATACTAGTTCTAGTACTGCCACTAATTGTACGTCAACTATTAGTTATATTAATAACAGTAATATTAATAAAAGTACTACGACTGCTAGTAATACTGCAAGTAGTACTACTACTACTCGTAATAATACTACTAGTACTACTACTACTAGTAGTATATTTAATTGTTCGAAATCTATTAGTAATACTAATATCCGTAATACTACTACAAGTATTACAAATACAAGTACGACTACTACTAGTACTACTACTACTAGTAATATTGCTACCAGTACTACTACATCTAGTACAATTACTACGAGTATTACTAATAATACTGGTACTATAACTACTAGTAATAATACTACTAATACTACCACTACTTGTACGACAATTACTGGTACTACTACTAATAGTAATACTACTGCTAGTACTATTAATACTGCTACTACTAATAATTGTTCTACTACTACTAGTACTACTACTACTATTACTAATACTGCTAGTACAACCACTAATTGTACGACAACTACTAGTACTACTACCAGTTATACTACTACTAGTACTAATACTAATGGTACTACTTCAAATAGTTCTACTACTACAGGTAATGCTACTACCCGTACTACTAATATTAATACTACTAATACTAGTAATACTACTACCAGTAATACTACTACTAGTAGTAGTACTACAAGTATTATTACTACTATTACTACTACAACTAGAAATATTACACCTCGTTCTACTAATACTAGTACCAATACTATTGGTACTATTACCACGAGTACTACTATTTCTAGTACTACCATTACTTGTACGAAAATTACTATTAATAAGACTACCAGTAACACTAGTACTAGTACTACTCATAATAGTAATACTACTAAATTACAGCTATTACTAGTATTACTAATACCAGTACTACTACTAATAGTATTACTACTACTAGTAGTACTACTATTAGTAGTACTACTATTAGTACTACTACTACTACTACTACTAGTACTATTACTACTACTACTAGTACTAATACTACTAGTAACACCACTACTAGTACTATTACTATTACTATTATTACTAGTACTGCTACTGCTAGTAATAATACTAGTAGTACTACTACTAGTTATACTACTACGAGTATCACTACTAATAGTAATAATTATGCTAGTACTATTACTACTAGTAATAATACTACTATTACTGGCACTCCTTGTACGACAATTACTAATATTACTACTACCAGTAATACTACTACTTGTACTATTACTACTGGTACTACTAATAATTGTTCCACTACTACTAGTACTACTACTACTACTGCTACTACTAGAACTACTACTACTAGTGCTAATACTACTAGTAGCACCACTAATTGTACGACAACTACTAGTATTACCACCAGTAATACTACTACTAATAATAATACTAATGGTACTACTTCAAATATTTCTACTACTACTGGTAATACTACTCCTCGTTCTACAACTACTAATACTACTACTATTAGTACTACTACTACTAGTACTGCTAATTCTCGTACTAATATTACTTGTACGAAAACTACTATTAATACTACTACCAGTAATACTACTACTAGTGCTACTACTACAAGTAAGAATACTGCCAGTACTATTACTACTAGTACTACAACTACTACTAATACTATTCCTCGTTCTAATACTAATAGTACTAATACAAATACTACTAATAATATTAGTTCTACTCTTACTAGTACTATTACTACTTGTACTAGTACTAGTAGTACTATCACAACTTGTACGAAATGTTCTATTTTTAGGACTACCAGTAATACTACTACTAGTACTACTAATAATAGTACTACTACTACAATTACAACTATTACTAGTATTACTACTAATAGTACTACTACTACTAGTAATACTACTACCAGTATTACTACTAATGGTACTAATTCAAATAGTTCTACAACTAATGGTAATGCTACTACTCGTACTAATACTATTAGTACAACTACTACTAGTACTACTACTACCAGTAATAATACTAATAGTACTAGTACTACATGTATTATTACTACTATTACTACTACTACTGGTAATACTATTCCTCGTTCTACAACTACTAATACTACTACTATTAGTACTACTACTACAAGTACTACTAATTCTCGTACTAATATTATTTGTACGACAACTACTACTGGTACTACTACTAGTAATTCTACTACTTATACTACTACTAAAAGTACTAATACTACTAGTACTATTACTACTAGTACTACTACTACTAGTAATACTACTACTAGTACTACCACTATTTTTACGACAACTACTAATAATATTATTACCAGTAATACTACTAATAGTACTACTACTACTAGTACTACTAGTACTAGTATTACTAACACTAGTAATAATACTGCTAGTACTATTATTACTAGTACTACTACAAATACTATTACTATTAATACTAACACTATTATTACTATTAATACCAATACTACTACTACTAGTATTACTGCTATTAGTACTACCACTTTTTGTAGGAAAACTTCCAGTAATAATACTACCAGTAATACTACTACTATTACTACTTTTACTAGTACAACTACTACTAATACTGCTACTACAAGTACTAATAGTACTAGCACTGCTACTAAGTGTCCTACCAATATTTTACGACAACTACTATTACTACTATTACTAGTAATATTACAGTTAATACTACTAAAACTAATACTACTACTATTACCAATACTACTAGAAATACTACTGCTAGTACTACTATTATTAATAATAATACTACTAGTACTACTACTACTACTACTAGTAATATCAATACTAGTACTAGCACTCCTTGTGCGACAAATACCATTATTACTACTACCATAAATACTACTAATAGTACTACTATTAATGGTATAATTTCTAATATTTCTACTAGTACTAGTAATGCTACTACTAGTACTGATAATAATAGTATTACTACTACTAGTATTACTACTACCAGTAATACTAATAATTGTGCTAGTACTACAAGTATTATTACTACTAGTACTACTAATACTAGTAATAATACTCCTCGCTCTACTACTACTAGTACCATTACTACTGGTAATACTACTACTAGTACTACAACTCCTACTAATATTAATCCTCGTTCTACTAATACTAGTACTAATACTACTACTACTACTAATACTATTGATACTACTAAAACAGGTACTACTAATACTAGTACTACTACTACTAGAACTATCAATACTAGTACTACCACTACTTGTACGACAACTACTAGTAATATTACTGCTAGTAATATTATTACTAATACTACTACTACTGGTATTACTACTATTAGTACTACTACTACTACTACTACTACTACTACTGCCACTACTTGTAATACAACTTCTAGTAATATGTTACCAGTAGTACTAATTCTAGTAATACTACTACAAGTATTACGAGTACCAGTACTACTACTACTAGTACTACAACTATTAGTACTACTACTAATAGTACTACCAATACTAGTACGGCAACAACTGGTACTAATACAACCAGTAATACTACTACTGCTACCACTACTACTGGTACCACTACAACTAATTCTACTACTACTGGTACTACTAATACAAATACTAATAATATTAGTACTAATACTACTAGTACTACTAATAATATTAATAATATTAATAATAATACAACTAGTATTACTACTAATAGTATTAATACTATTAGTAATACTACTACTAATACTACCGCTACTAGTACTACTACTACTACAAGTAATACTACTACTAGTACTACTACTACTATTAATCTTACCACTAGTATTGCTACTGCTTGTACGACAACTACTAGTAGTATTATAACTAGTACTAATACTACTAGTACTACTACCACTAATACTCCTTCTATTAGTACTATTACCACTACTAATACTACTGTTATTACTACCACTACTTGTACGAAAACTACTAGTAGTACTACTTCCAATAATACCACTACTTTACGACAACTGCTAGTATTATTACTACTAGAAATATTACTACTAGTACTACTACTAACAGTACTAATACTATTAGTACTAATACTAATAGTACGACTAATACTAGTACTATTACTACAAGTATTAATATTACTAGTAATCCTATTTCTAGTAATACCACTATTAGTACTACTACTACTTGTAACTCTACGAGTAATACTACTGTTAGTACTACTATTACTAGCAATACTGCTACTTGTAATACTATTATTAGTGCTACTACTATTAGTACTACTACAACTAGTACTACTACTACTAGTACTACTTCTACTTTTACTACCACTAATTGTACGACAAATACTAGTAATTCTACTACCATTAAAACTACTAATAGTAATACTATTACTAGAACTACTACTAATAGTACTTCTACTACAAGTACTAATACTAGTACTACTACTACTAGTAATATTACTACTAGTACTATTACTACTGGTACTACTAATAATTGTTCCACTACTACTAGTACTACTACTACTAGTGCTAATATATTAAGTACTACTATTACTAGTACTACTACTACTACTGCTACTACTAGAACTACTACTACTAGTACTAATACTACTAGTACCACCACTAATTGTACGACAGCTACTAGTAGTACTACCAGTAATACTACTACTAATACTAATACTAATGGTACTACTTCAAATATTTCTACTACTACTCGTAATGCTAATACTCGTACTACTACTATTAGTATTACTACTACTAGTAATACCACTACCAGTAATACTACCACTAGTAATAGTACTACAAGTATTATTACTACTATTACTAGTACTACTAGTAATACTACTCCTCGTTCTACTATTACTAGTACTACTATTTTTAGTTTTACTACTACCAGTACTGCTACTTCTAGTATTAACATTACTTGTACGAAGACTACTCGTAATTCTTTTACCACTATTACTACTACTAGTGCTACTACTACAGGTACGAATACTGCCAGTACTACTACTACTAGTACTACAACTACTACTTATAATAATCCTCGTTCTACTACTACTAGTACCACTACTACTACTACTAATATTAGTTCTAATACTACTAGTACTACTACTACTAGCATTAGTACTACTAGAACTACGACAACTTGTACGAAATCTTCTATTATTAAGACTACCAGTAATACTACTACTAGTACTACTAATAATAGTACTACTACTACAATTACAAATATTACTAGTATTACTACTACTGGTACAACCACTAATTGTACGACAACTACTAGCATTACTACTATCAGTAATACTATTACTATAACTACTACTAAAAGTACTACTATTGCTAGAATAACTACTACTAGCACTACTACTACTAGTATTACTACTATTAGTACTACCACTATTTGTACGAAAACTACTAGTAATATTACTACCAGTAATCCTACTAATAGTACTAGTAATACTAGAACAACTAGTACTAGTATTACTAACACTAGTAATAATACTGCTAGTATTACTATTACTAGTACTACTACTAAATCTACTATTAATACTAACACTATCAGTACTATTATACTAGTATTAATACAACAAATATTACTGCTATTAGTACTACCACGATTTGTAGGACAACTACTAGTAATACTACTACCAGTAACAATACTACTAGTACTACTATTACTACTACTACTAGTACTACCACTATTAGTACTAATACTACTTGTACTATTATTATTAGTACTACCACTACTTGTACGACAACTACTAGTACTACTACTACAAGTCTTATTACTACTAGTACTACTACTACTAGTAGTACCGCTATTATACGACAACTAGTATCAGTAAAACTACTAGTAATATTACAATTAATAATACGACTACTAGTACTATTACTGCTATTAAAATACTAATAGTAATACTACTGCTAGTCCTATTACTATTAGTACTATTACTACCATTACTACTACTAGTACTACTACTACTAGTACAACTAATACTAGTACTAATAATACTAGTATTACCACTCCTTTTACTTCAAATACTATTACTATTACTACCATTAATACTACTACTAATATTACTACTAATGGTAATATTTCTAATAGTTCTATTAGTACTAGAAATGCTACTACAAGTACTACTACTATTAGTATTACTACTACCAGTACTACTACTACCAGTAATACTACTACTAGAAATGGTTCTACAAGAATTAATACTACTAGTTCTACTAATACTAATAATACTACTCCTCGTTCTACTACTACTAGTACTAGTATTACTAGTACTAATACTTTTAGTACTACTACTACTTGTACTACTACTACCAATAATAATACTACTAGTAATATTTCTACAAGTATTATTACTAATAGTACAACTATTATTACTAATATTACTAGTACTACTACTAATAGTACTACTACTACTAATACTACCACTATATGTACGAGAACTAATAATACTACTAATAAAATTACTGCTACTACTAGTAATACTAATATTAGTACTACTATTTCTAGTATTACTTCTACTAGTACTACTACTACTAGTAATATTATCACTAGTATTATTATTACAACAGTAATACTTCTCCTATTTCTACTACTACTAATACTGCCACTACTAGAACCAATACTATTTGTACTATTACCATTAGTACTAATACTACTAGTAGTACTACTACTAATACTACCACTACTTGTACGACAACTACTAGTATTACTACTACCAGTAATACTACTTCTAGTAATACTACTACTAGTACGACTACTCCTAGTATTACTACTACTAGTACTAATACTACTAGTACCACCTATAATTGCACGATAAATACTGGTTCTCATAGGAGTAATACTACTACTGGTACTGATATTACTGTTACTACTACTACTATTTCTACTAATACTAGTACTACTACTACTAGTACTACTAAAATTAGTATTACTACTACTAGTACTACTACTACTACTACTACTACTACTACTACTACTACTACTAGTACTACCACTCCTTGTACGAATCTACTAGTACTAATACAGCCAATAATTATACTATTAGTACTACAAATAATGGTACTACTTCAACTAGTTCTACTACTGATAATAATGCTACTGCTAGTACTAATACTATTAGTACAACTACTACTAGTACTACTACTACTAGTACTAATATTACTAGTACCACAACTACTTGTACGACAATTACAAGTACTACTGCTACCAGTAATACTATTACTGCTACTACTATTCTTGTTACTACTCCTAATATTTATATTAATACTAGTACTAATGATATTAGTACTACTACTATTAGTACTACTACTGCTAGTACCATTATTACTAAGACTACTACTACTAGTACTACCGCTACTAGAACTACTACTACTAGTACTACCATTACTTGTACGAAAACTACTAATAGTAATACTACCAGTAATACTACTACCAGTATTAGAACTACATGTAGGACTACTACTCGTACTACTACTTCTAGTAATACTACTACTAGTACTACTGTGGTGTGAGCTACTTATATTCATATAAGTAGTATATAACGTGCGTTAAATAAACGTAAGGTCCGGCAGCAGAAGATGGCGAAGATCAAGAACGGAAGAGCATGAGCACAATGGAATTGTAAGAAAACACATGTACAATGGAATGGGAGACAATGGATTAGTGTTTGCAACGGGAACAGTACAGTTTGATATGATGGAATGATATTTTGCAAATTGACGATTGACTTTATGGTATTCACATTTTATTGAGATAGTCTGTAATCTTTGTGCTAAATACAGTCGATTGTCCCCATCCGTGTTCTTGTTCACTACACTACTACTACTAGTAATAATACTACCAATATTACCACTCGTTGTACGACAACTACTTGTACTCCTACTACTAGTACTACTACAAATAGTACTAATACTAATAATAATACCACTACTTGTACGAAATCTACTAGTAATAGTATTACCAGTTATACTACTACTAGTACTACTGCCAAAAGTACGACTAAAACTGATACTACAACTAATAGAACTACTACTACTAGTAGTACTACTACTAGTACTACTACTACTAGTATAACCACTACTTGTACGAAAACTATTAGTACTACCACTACCAGTCATACTACAAGTAGTACTAATAATACAAGTACTAAAACTTTTAGTAATAGTACTACAAGTGTTAAGACTGCTAGTAATACTACTAATAGTACTACCACTACTAGTATTACTACTATTATTACTATTAATACTAGTTCCACAACTACATGTACGACAACTATTACTACTACTACTACTAGTAATACTACTACTGGTACTACTATTACTGGTACCACCAGTACTAGTTCTACTACTACTAGTACTACTTCTACTAGTTCTAATACTATTAGTACTACTACTACTAGTACTACTGCTAATAATACTACTGCACTACTAGTACTAATACTACTAGTACTACTACTAATAAGACTACCACTCCTTGTACGATAACTACTAGTAATAATACTACCATTAATACTAATACTAGTACTACTACTATAGGTACTACTACTAATAGTTCTAGTAAAACTATTACCACTACTACTAGTACTACTACTATTAGTACTACTATTGTTTGTACTGCTACTGCCAGTAATACTAATACTAGTACTAGTATTATAAGTACTATTAATACTAGTACTACTACTAAGATTAATATTACTTCTATTACTACTACAACTAGTACTACAACTACGAGTATTACTACTAATATTAATACTAATACTAGTACTACTATTACTTGTAATAATACTACTAATACTACCACTCCTTGTACGACTACTACTAGTACTACTAATACCAGTAATACTAATATTAGTACTACTAATAATTGTTCAACTTCTACTAGTACTTGTACTACTAACACTAATTCTATTAGTACTAATATTACTAGTAATACTACTACTACTACTACCATTACTTGTACGACAACTACTAGTATTGCTTATACTAGTAGAACTACTTCTAGTAATACTACTACTAGTACTACTACTACTAGTACTAATATTACTATTACCACCACTAATTGTACGACAACTACTAGTTCTACAACCAGTAATAATAATAATAGTACTACTACTGCTAGTACTACTACTTGTAGTACTACTACTACTAGTAATATTACTAATAGTACTACTACTACTAGTATTAAATTTAATTGTAAGAAAACTATTAGTAATACTACTATCAGTAATACTACTACAAGTATTACAAATACAAGTACTACTACTACTAGTACTACTACTACTAGTAATATTGCTACCAGTACTACTACATCTAGTACAATTACTACGAGTATTACTACTAATACTGGTACTATAACTACTAGTAATAATACTACTAATACTACCACTACTTGTACGACAATTACTGGTACTACTACTAATAGTAATACTACTGCTAGTACTATTAATACTGCTACTACTAATAATTGTTCTACTACTACTAGTACTACTACTACTATTACTAATACTGCTAGTACAACCACTAATTGTACGACAACTACTAGTACTACTACCAGTTATACTACTACTAGTACTAATACTAATGGTACTACTTCAAATAGTTCTACTACTACAGGTAATGCTACTACCCGTACTACTAATATTAATACTACTAATACTAGTAATACTACTACCAGTAATACTACTACTAGTAGTAGTACTACAAGTATTATTACTACTATTACTACTACAACTAGAAATATTACACCTCGTTCTACTAATACTAGTACCAATACTATTGGTACTATTACCACGAGTACTACTATTTCTAGTACTACCATTACTTGTACGAAAATTACTATTAATAAGACTACCAGTAACACTAGTACTAGTACTACTCATAATAGTAATACTACTAAATTACAGCTATTACTAGTATTACTAATACCAGTACTACTACTAATAGTATTACTACTACTAGTCGTACTACTATTAGTCGTACTACTACCAGTACTACTACTACTACTACTACTAGTACTATTACTACTACTACTAGTACTAATACTACTAGTAACACCACTACTAGTACTATTACTATTACTATTATTACTAGTACTGCTACTGCTAGTAATAATACTAGTAGTACTACTACTAGTTATACTACTACGAGTATCACTACTAATAGTAATAATTATGCTAGTACTATTACTACTAGTAATAATACTACTATTACTGGCACTCCTTGTACGACAATTACTAATATTACTACTACCAGTAATACTACTACTTGTACTATTACTACTGGTACTACTAATAATTGTTCCACTACTACTAGTACTACTACTACTACTGCTACTACTAGAACTACTACTACTAGTGCTAATACTACTAGTAGCACCACTAATTGTACGACAACTACTAGTATTACTACCAGTAATACTACTACTAATAATAATACTAATGGTACTACTTCAAATATTTCTACTACTACTGGTAAGGCTGCTACTCGTACTAATACTATTAGTACAACTACTACTAGTACTACTACTACCAGTAATAATACTACTAGTGCTGGTACTACAAGTATTATGACTACTATTACTACTTATACTACTGGTAATACTACTCCTCGTTCTACAACTACTAATACTACTACTATTAGTACTACTACTACTAGTACTGCTAATTCTCGTACTAATATTACTTGTACGAAAACTACTATTAATACTACTACCAGTAATACTACTACTAGTGCTACTACTACAAGTAAGAATACTGCCAGTACTATTACTACTAGTACTACAACTACTACTAATACTATTCCTCGTTCTAATACTAATAGTACTAATACAAATACTACTAATAATATTAGTTCTACTCTTACTAGTACTATTACTACTTGTACTAGTACTAGTAGTACTATCACAACTTGTACGAAATGTTCTATTTTTAGGACTACCAGTAATACTACTACTAGTACTACTAATAATAGTACTACTACTACAATTACAACTATTACTAGTATTACTACTAATAGTACTACTACTACTAGTAATACTACTACCAGTATTACTACTAATGGTACTAATTCAAATAGTTCTACAACTAATGGTAATGCTACTACTCGTACTAATACTATTAGTACAACTACTACTAGTACTACCACTACCAGTAATAATACTAATAGTACTAGTACTACATGTATTATTACTACTATTACTACTACTACTGGTAATACTATTCCTCGTTCTACAACTACTAATACTACTACTATTAGTACTACTACTACAAGTACTACTAATTCTCGTACTAATATTATTTGTACGACAACTACTACTGATACTACTACTAGTAATTCTACTACTTATACTACTACTAAAAGTACTAATACTACTAGTACTATTACTACTAGTACTACTACTACTAGTAATACTACTACTAGTACTACCACTATTTTTACGACAACTACTAATAATATTATTACCAGTAATACTACTAATAGTACTACTACTACTAGTACTACTAGTACTAGTATTACTAACACTAGTAATAATACTGCTAGTACTATTATTACTAGTACTACTACAAATACTATTACTATTAATACTAACACTATTATTACTATTAATACCAATACTACTACTACTAGTATTACTGCTATTAGTACTACCACTTTTTGTAGGAAAACTTCCAGTAATAATACTACCAGTAATACTACTACTATTACTACTTTTACTAGTACAACTACTACTAATACTGCTACTACAAGTACTAATAGTACTAGCACTGCTACTTAGTGTCCTACCAATAATTTACGACAACTACTAATACTACTACTACTAGTAATATTACAGTTAATACTACTAAAACTAATACAACTACAATTACCAATACTACTAGAAATACTAATGCTAGTACTACTATTAATTATAATAATACTACTAGTACTACTACTACTACTACTACTACTATTAGTAATATCAATACTAGTACTAGCACTCCTTGTACGAAAAATACCAATAATACTACACCATAAATACTACTAATAGTACTACTATTAATGGTATAATTTCTAATATTTCTACTAGTACTAGTAATGCTACTACTAGTACTGATAATAATAGTATTACTACTACTAGTATTACTACTACCAGTAATATTAATAATTGTGCTAGTACTACAAGTATTATTACTACTATTACTACTAATACTAGTAATAATACTCCTCGCTCTACTAATACTACTACTACTACTACTACTACTACTACTACTGCTACTAGTACTACCACTCCTTGTACGAATCTACTAGTACTAATACAGCCAATAATTATACTATTAGTACTACAAATAATGGTACTACTTCAACTAGTTCTACTACTGATAATAATGCTACTGCTAGTACTAATACTATTAGTACAACTACTACTAGTACTACTACTACTAGTACTAATATTACTAGTACCACAACTACTTGTACGACAATTACAAGTACTACTGCTACCAGTAATACTATTACTGCTACTACTATTCTTCTTACTACTCCTAATATTTATATTAATTCTAGTACTAATGATATTAGTACTACTACTATTAGTACTACTACTGCTAGTACCATTATTACTAAGACTACTACTACTAGTGCTACCGCTACTAGAACTACTACTACTAGTACTACCATTACTTGTACGAAAACTACTAATAGTAATACTACCAGTAATACTACTACCAGTATTAGAACTACATGTAGGACTACTACTCGTACTACTACTTCTAGTAATACTACTACTAGTACTACTGTGGTGTGAGCTACTTATATTCATATAAGTAGTATATAACGTGCGTTAAATAAACGTAAGGTCCGGCAGCAGAAGATGGCGAAGATCAAGAACGGAAGAGCATGAGCACAATGGAATTGTAAGAAAACACATGTACAATGGAATGGGAGACAATGGATTAGTGTTTGCAACGGGAACAGTACAGTTTGATATGATGGAATGATATTTTGCAAATTGACGATTGACTTTATGGTATTCACATTTTATTGAGATAGTCTGTAATCTTTGTGCTAAATACAGTCGATTGTCCCCACCCGTGTTCTTGTTCACTACACTACTACTACTAGTAATAATACTACCAATATTACCACTCGTTGTACGACAACTACTTGTACTCCTACTACTAGTACTACTACAAATAGTACTAATACTAATAATAATACCACTACTTGTACGAAATCTACTAGTAATAGTATTACCAGTTATACTACTACTAGTACTACTGCCAAAAGTACGACTAAAACTGATACTACAACTAATAGAACTACTACTACTAGTAGTACTACTACTAGTACTACTACTACTAGTATAACCACTACTTGTACGAAAACTATTAGTACTACCACTACCAGTCATACTACAAGTAGTACTAATAATACAAGTACTAAAACTTTTAGTAATAGTACTACAAGTGTTAAGACTGCTAGTAATACTACTAATAGTACTACCACTACTAGTATTACTACTATTATTACTATTAATACTAGTTCCACAACTACATGTACGACAACTATTACTACTACTACTACTAGTAATACTACTACTGTCACTACTATTACTGGTACCACCAGTACTAGTTCTACTACTACTAGTACTACTTCTACTAGTTCTAATACTATTAGTACTACTACTACTAGTACTACTGCTAATAATACTACTGCACTACTAGTACTAATACTACTAGTACTACTACTAATAAGACTACCACTCCTTGTACGATAACTACTAGTAATAATACTACCATTATTACTAATACTAGTACTACTACTATAGGTACTACTACTAATAGTTCTAGTAAAACTATTACCACTACTACTAGTACTACTACTATTAGTACTACTATTGTTTGTACTGCTACTGCCAGTAATACTAATACTAGTACTAGTATTATAAGTACTATTAATACTAGTACTACTACTAAGATTAATATTACTTCTATTACTACTACAACTAGTACTACAACTACGAGTATTACTACTAATATTAATACTAATACTAGTACTACTATTACTTGTAATAATACTACTAATACTACCACTCCTTGTACGACTACTACTAGTACTACTAATACCAGTAATACTAATATTAGTACTACTAATAATTGTTCAACTTCTACTAGTACTTGTACTACTAACACTAATTCTATTAGTACTAATATTACTAGTAATACTACTACTACTACTACCATTACTTGTACGACAACTACTAGTATTGCTTATACTAGTAGAACTACTTCTAGTAATACTACTACTAGTACTACTACTACTAGTACTAATATTACTATTACCACCACTAATTGTACGACAACTACTAGTTCTACAACCAGTAATAATAATAATAGTACTACTACTGCTAGTACTACTACTTGTAGTACTACTACTACTAGTAATATTACTAATAGTACTACTACTACTAGTATTAAATTTAATTGTAAGAAAACTATTAGTAATACTACTATCAGTAATACTACTACTAGTATTACAACTACTAGTATTAATACTACTGGTACTGCCACTACTTGTACAACAACTATTATTATTAATATTATCAGTAATACTACTACTAAAACTACTACTAAAATTACTACTACTACTAGTACTACTACGACTGGCAATACTAGTTCTAGTACTGCCACTAATTGTACGTCAACTATTAGTTATATTAATAACAGTAATATTAATAAAAGTACTACGACTGCTAGTAATACTGCAAGTAGTACTACTACTACTCGTAATAATACTACTAGTACTACTACTAGTAATATTGCTACCAGTACTACTACATCTAGTACAATTACTACGAGTATTACTACTAATACTGGTACTATAACTACTAGTAATAATACTACTAATACTACCACTACTTGTACGACAATTACTGGTACTACTACTAATAGTAATACTACTGCTAGTACTATTAATACTGCTTCTACTAATAATTGTTCTACTACTACTAGTACTACTACTACTATTACTAATACTGCTAGTACAACCACTAATTGTACGACAACTACTAGTATTACTACCAGTTATACTACTACTAGTACTAATACTAATGGTACTACTTCAAATAGTTCTACTACTACAGGTAATGCTACTACCCGTACTACTAATATTAATACTACTCATACTAGTAATACTACTACCAGTAATACTACTACTAGTAGTAGTACTACAAGTATTATTACTACTATTACTACTACAACTAGAAATATTACACCTCGTTCTACTAATACTAGTACCAATACTATTGGTACTATTACCACGAGTACTACTATTTCTAGTACCACCATTACTTGTACGAAAATTACTCTTAATAAGACTACCAGTAACACTAGTACTAGCACTACTCATAATAGTAATACTACTAAATTACAGCTATTACTAGTATTACTAATACCAGTACTACTACTAATAGTATTACTACTACTAGTAGTACTACTATTAGTAGTACTACTACCAGTACTACTACTACTACTACTACTAGTACTATTACTACTACTACTAGTACTAATACTACTAGTAACACCACTACTAGTACTATTACTATTACTATTATTACTAGTACTGCTACTGCTAGTAATAATACTAGTAGTACTACTACTAGTTATACTACTACGAGTATCACTACTAATAGTAATAATTATGCTAGTACTATTACTACTAGTAATAATACTACTATTACTGGCACTCCTTGTACGACAATTACTAATATTACTACTACCAGTAATACTACTACTTGTACTATTACTACTGGTACTACTAATAATTGTTCCACTACTACTAGTACTACTACTACTACTGCTACTACTAGAACTACTACTAGTAGTACTAATACTACTAGTACCACCACTAATTGTACGACAGCTACTAGTAGTACTACCAGTAATACTACTACTAATACTAATACTAATGGTACTACTTCAAATATTTCTACTACTACTCGTAATGCTAATACTCGTACTACTACTATTAGTATTACTACTACTAGTAATACCACTACCAGTAATACTACCACTAGTAATAGTACTACAAGTATTATTACTACTATTACTAGTACTACTAGTAATACTACTACTCGTTCTACTATTACTAGTACTACTATTTTTAGTTTTACTACTACCAGTACTGCTACTTCTAGTATTAACATTACTTGTACGAAGACTACTCGTAATTCTTTTACCACTATTACTACTACTAGTGCTACTACTACAGGTACGAATACTGCCAGTACTACTACTACTAGTACTACAACTACTACTTATAATAATCCTCGTTCTACTACTACTAGTACCACTACTACTACTACTAATATTAGTTCTAATACTACTAGTACTACTACTACTAGCATTAGTACTACTAGAACTACGACAACTTGTACGAAATCTTCTATTATTAAGACTACCAGTAATACTACTACTAGTACTACTAATAATAGTACTACTACTACAATTACAAATATTACTAGTATTACTACTACTGGTACAACCAC